TACTCAGGAGCTTGGGGAGCCTATGGTTTCCTTTCTAGCTGATGCATTGCAGGGGAGAAAGCAATCAGAGTTGGCTTGCTGACCAAGTAACATCCTTCTCTCCCATGGTATAAATTATCATGATCATTTGAAATTTAGCACTCTTGTCCTGATGCGTGTCAGGCGAAAACCTTTCACAACGTGTCTCTTTTCAGTGATATCCAATTGTTTTGTTCCTTTAGCGTCAGCTGGAAGCAGTTTCAATAAGCACCAGAAAGTACTGTGTTATGTGACAAGCAGGATCCAGTTTGCTGTCACAGCACTAATCATTTCTTAGAGTCAGAATGACCAGCTTAGTTACGGATGACATGTTGGTCTTGATAGAGATCCTGTTTGAGTGGAAATAAATAACAAGGTCCAATGAAGCAAAAACACTTTTTATAACCCTGACACAATGCTGGGTTTGTGACAATCCTATCATCATGTTGCAATATGTACTTTTATGTACTTTTCTTAAAATCAAAGCAAATATGTGTAATAGAGAACCTATGCAAGTTAGCAAAATGGTTTGCCAATGTATCTTAATTATTGTGTGCCATCATTTTTCTGAGGTCTGAATTGTGAAAGTAAACAATAAAGTAATCCATGGTTCAGTAAACAAATGTGATTGCTGGTAAAATTCCAACCAGAAGCCAGGGCAAAGAGATATGGAGCTAAATCAAAGACTCTGTAGAAGATATAACTTTTAAAAACGTTACTTTGGAATTATAAGAAAAAACACTTGATCTCATTCGGGTCAGGTGGTCATTGATCTACTCTGAAAAGCTCGATAGTGAAGCATAGAAGTGAACACTAAACTTTACATGTTTTTAAAACCGCTTTTGCAGATATAAACATTACAAACATTTAACCTAACAATCACAGTTTCATCTGCCCCTATAGATGAGCTAGTGAATCTGAGTTAATGTCCATCACCCAACTAGAATTAAATATTCAATCATTATATAATCAATGGTAGTGCCTTCCTGCATTTGCCTGATACTCCGTCTGTATCTGTCACAAGGCTACGCTGCATTTCTCTACAATTTCATTAAGTGCTCTTCCACCCGCTCTCTTTTGTTCTTCGTCTGATGACACTACACTCAATGAGCAGCACTGATTAAAACAATAATCACTACCCTGTTATAAAGATATGGACATTGAACTTGCACAGTGCTCCTGCTCTTGATACAAACCAGTGCAATTCCACTGAAGCCAAACAAGGCGACCCACAAAGAGCACTGCATAAAACAGTAATTGAATACTGAAGCAGGGTTTTCCCCCAGTTCTCTGTCTGCACCCAGCTGGGGTATCAAACAATCAAAAGAGCAGTGAGAAATGTTAGCAGGGCAGAAACTCCCCGAAAATCAAAATAATTGTTTCCACTATAGGCCTGAACTGAGACAGGAATGTACAGTAGCATGTGATATTGACTTTGTTTTTATTCATTTACGGGATGAGGGCATTGCTGGCTAGGCAGCATTTATTGCTCATCCCTAATTGCCCAGAGGGCAGTTAAGTGTCAAACACATTGCTGTGGGTCTGGAGTCACATATAGGAAAGACCAGGTAAGGATGGCAGTTTCCTTGCCTAAAGGATATTAGTGAACCAGATGGGTTTTTCCAACAAGCGACAATGGGCTCACAGTTATCATTAGATTCTTAATTCAATATTTATTGAATTCAAATTCCACCATCTGCCATAGCTTGGTTTGAACCCAGGTCCCCAGAATGTTATTTGGTCTCTAGATTAACAGTCCAGCGATAATACCACTTGGCCGTTGCCTCCCCTGAAGGAGTAAAGGAGTGAACTGAAGGAGTAAAAGGCCCTCCACTGAGGGAAACACAGCTGCTTCTCATAGACTACCATAACTTTGTACACTGTAGCGTTGGGAAGTGATAGTGAGTAAGGAGGAAGAATATTCTTCAGAGACCTTGGTTCTACCTATTATGGACGAGACCAGACCCCTCAAAATATTTTAGGAAGGTAGCCTAGACCCTAGCTTTTTCCTAGTTTGAAAGCAAATGTAAAGTGCTGTATTCCAGATGCAATGCGACTGGTTTAACCACTCAGCGTTAAGCAAAATATAATTTATTCAAACACTGTAGTTAAAATACAGCAAAAGAAAGAAGAACTTTGAATAACAACACTGTTGGAAAACTAATAGATACAGTAACTATTACTAATTAATTGTTCCAATATAGTAACATCCCACAGACACACCCCTTGGCAAAAAGGCAAATTCAGAAATCAGATTTTCTCACATGCAACACCCACAGTAGGAAGAGAAACCCCAGCTTCTAGCCATAACTGAGAGAGGGGAGAAGAAAGCTTCTACTTCTTTAAGACATCAGCAGCTTCTGCCGAATCTAAAAGCTAAGAAAAACTAGAATTCCTGGATTGTAAGAGGTAGCCACACCCAGCCAGGCTGCTTCTATTGTTCCAAATTTTTTTTAAAAACTCCCAAGGATTCAAGCTGTTTACATTACCACGTTCTGTTTGTCACCTCTCATTCAATCTCTGTTTTGAAAGAAACCAGGCCTAAATATACCTCTTAAAGCCACAGCATTTCCACATGCCCCTCTCCCTATTATTACCAAATAAATATGCACATATGGAAGAAGCATTGCTTATTAAACTGCTTTCTTTACCATTCCTATTGTATTATTAAAAGGCTTATAGATTCAGACACTTTCAGAGAGGAACCTCTCTCAGACAATGTCAGCTCCCTTTGGCCTCCTGTGAACTTTTTCCTTTTGTTCTATGGATGAGAAAACTTCCTGCATCTCAGTTCTTCTCTTTGAAACTTTTTTTCCTTAACTCCTACTTCTTATTACTTTATCTGCTCACCCTGTAAAAGCCTACAGAAACCTAGCTTTCTGAGAATGATCACAGTCATCGCCAAGTTGCTATTAAAAAGAAAGAGGTGTTGTACATCTTAAAATATATTAAGGTAGATACATCAGGGGTCCTGATGGGATTTATCCCAGAAAACTGAAGGAGGCAAGAGAACAAATTGCTAGAACATTGACAGACACCTATGTATTCTCTTTGGCCACAGATGAGGCCCCAGAGGATGGGAGAATAGCCAATGCTGTTCCATCGTTTAAGAAGGGTAACAGGAATAATCCAGGAAATTATAGGCCTGTGAGCCTCACGTTGGTGGTGGGGGAAAAAACTGAAAAAGATTCTCAGGGACAAGATCTATATGCATTTAGAAGCAAATGGACTTATTAGTGATAGGCAGCATGGTTTTGTGTGGGGGAGGTTGTGCCTCACTAACTTGATCGAGTTCTTTGAGGAGGTGATGAAGATGATTGATGAGGGAAAAGCAGATATTGTCTACACGGGCTTCAGTTAAGCCTTTGACAAGGTCCCTCATGGCAGACTGGTACAAAAGGTAAAGTCACATGGTATCAGGATGACCTGGCAAGATGGATACAGAACTGGCTTCGACATAGGAGTCAGTGAGTAGCAGTGGAAGGATGCTTTTCGGAATGGAGGGCTGTGACTAGTGGTGTACCACAGAGATCAGTGCTGGGACCTCTGCTGTTCGTGGTCTACCTAAATGATTTGGAGGAAAATCTAACTGGTCTAATTAGTATGTTTGTGGATGATACAAAGATTGATGGAGTTGTTGATAGTGAGGAGGATTGTCAAAGGATGCAGCAGAATATAGATCAGTTGACAGCATTGGCAGAAAAATGGCAGATGGAGTTTAATCTGTACAAATTGCATTTTGGAAGGTCAATACAGGTGGAAATTATACAGTGAATGGCAGAACCGTTAGGAGTATTGATATGCAGAGGGATCTGGGTGTGCAGGTCCACCGATCACTGAAAGTGGCAGCGCAGGTAGATAAGGTGGTAAAAAAGGCCTATGGCATGCTTACCTTCATTGGAAGAGGCATTGAATATAAAGATGGGCAAGTTATGCTTTATAGAACTTTAGTTGGACCACACTTGGAATATTGCGTACAGTTCTGGTGGCCGACCTATCGGAAGGATATGGATGCTTTGAAGAGAGTATGGAAAAGGTTTACCAGGATGTTGCCTGGAATGGGGGATTTTAGTTATGATGAAAGGTTGGATGGACTGTGTTTGTTTGCACTGGAACGCAGGAGGTCGAAGGGTGACCTGATAGAAGCTTATAAGATTGTGAATGGCATGGATAGAGTGGCAAGTATGAGGCTTTTTCCCAGGGTGAAGGGTCGATTATCAGGGGACGTAGGTTCAAGTTGCGGGGAGGGAAGCTTTTTACACAAAGGGCAGTGAATGCCTGGAATGTACAGCCCAAGGAGATGGTGGAAGCAAACACGATAGATGCATTCAAGAAACAACTAGAAGAACCATGAACAGCTACAGAATAGTGGGAAATGGATCCAGTAAGTGAAGATGGTTTTAGTATGGAAGGGCAAAATGTGTTGGCGCAGGCTTAGAGGGCCAAAGGGCCTGTTCCTCTGCTGTATTGTTCTTTGTTCTCTTTGTTGTTGTTCATTTATCCTAACTTCTTTACTCAGCATTCATTCTCTTAAGTGTCTTTAGAAATGATCATGTTAAAGAGACTGCGTAAGTGCAAATTATTGTTAACTGATACAATTGTGGAATTTTATTCCCCAGTTGCTTCCCTGCTCCAATAGGTCTTAGATTCCACATGGAGGCCTCCACACAGTTTTCATTTCCTACTTCCAACAACTTGGATCACAAAATATTGTCAATAATACACAGGCAAAGACATGCCTGACTAACACCAGATACCATTTGTTACTCTGTTGCAAGAAGTTTGGGGCCATTGTGTTGACACTGATTGCTTTTAGAAGAACTATCACAGAAAAAATGGGCCAAATGGCCTCTTTCTGTGTTGTGCTTTTCAATGATTTTATTAAATTGAGGTTACAGATTTGGAGAAGTGCATATGGCTGTTTATGATTTGAAATGCATACAGATACAAAAATTAACAATACTTTGCAAGCTGACAAGTAGACCTCAACAGTTCCAGTTTCTTGACTGGAAATTCACACATTAACTAGTTGAATTTTAATTGACTGTTCCAATTTTGTTCTGATTTTAGTTCCAGCTTGTGATTTTGAATCTGATCTATGCGGATGGCACTCTGAAGAAGCACAGAATTCTGTTGCATGGTTATACGTTCAAGCTAATAGTAGCTCGTCAAATGGCACAGCTCCACTGAAAGATCACAGCACAGGCTCTTCATGGGGTAAATCCAGAAAATTTTATAAACTGCATTTGAAACACACAATTGTAAATATGTAACTAATGGAAACTTATGTATTGAGATCCTTTGATAAATCATGATGCAATTCAGAGGTGAGAGGTCTGGGGCATATCGCCTAAAGATTAAAGTCAAAGCTTTCAGGAGTAGTTTGTGTAAAATCAATTGTTAATTTTAAAGCTGAAATTGTTGAATTTTTGTAAAACTTGTATATTAAGGACATGAAGCAAAGACAGATTTCTGGAATTAAGCCACAGATAAACTGAACTGTAGAACAAGCTGGAGGGGCTAATTCGCTTGCTCCTGTTCCTATATTACAGTGACTCAGAAAAACATTGTACTGAGCACCGAGTGCAGGTACGCTGTGATAACAGGAATCCTGGATGGTATGTCATTCTTCTGATGCCTTCAGATCCCAGTATAATTTTCAATGTTGGGGCAGGTCGGGAAAAACCAGCAGCCAGTACACCTCCAATTCCAAAAAGGATTCAAGATGGCGCCGACACCAGGCAACTCTTTGCTGAGCTCTCTACAGCAGATCATTTTCTCACATTTCTTACAGCCATTCCACACTTTTAATCCTCAATTCTAAATCTGTAAAAATTACCATTGCTTTTGTCCACTCCTGTGCAGCTGTAACCTTGCATGCCTCATTCTGTCTCAACACCCTGTGATCTGTATGTCCTTGTATGTTATAATCTGCCTGTACTGCTTCCAAATCAAAACTTTTCACTGTACTTAGGTACATGTGACAACAATAAATCAAATCAAATCATTACCTGTTAGCATCATCCTCCAACATTTCCGCCATCCACGATTAGACCCCACCGCTAAAAGGTTATTTCCCTTCCTACCCCTGTCTGCTTTCGGAAGGGACCATTCACTCCGTGACTCCCTCCTTGGCTCCACACGCACCACCAGACCCTCCACCACATCCGGTACCTTTCCCTGCAACCGCTCGAGGTGCTACACCTGCCCCTACGCCTCCCCTCTCACCTCCGTCCGCGGCCCCAAACAATCCTTCCAAATCTGGCAGAGATTCACCTGCGCTTCACCTAAACTCATCTACTGTATCTATTACTCCCAGTGTGGTCTCCTCCATATCGGGGAGACCAAACGCAGACCCAGGGACCGGCTCGTGGAGTATCTGCTCTCTGCATGTACCAACCAATCCAGCCTTCTGGTTGCCATCCATTTTAACTGCCCCTCCCACTTCCCTCGTGACATGTTCGTTCTTGGCCGTCTCCACTGTCGGAGTGAGGCCAAACGTAAATTGGAGGAACAACACCTCATATTTCGCCTTGGGAGCTTATAGCCCAATGGCCTGAATATTGTCATCACCAGCTTCAAAATATTTCCTCTCCCAACCTGTCCATCTTCCAACTTACCTATCCACTCCACCCTTCCCACTGACCAACCACAATAACCCCCTACCTGCAGCAGCAGCTTCAAGATCTCTCCACCCCCCACCTGTCCTTCTTCCTACTCATCTATCCACTCTACACGTCCTGCTGACCAACCACAATAACCCACTACCTGCTTCCACCTATCTCCATCTCACCTCCCCTCTCCCCAGCCCCACCTCCCCTCCCTCTATTTATTTCTGGCTCCACTCCCCCTCCCCAGATCCGACGAAGGGTTTCGGCCCAAAACATTGACTTCCCTGCTCCTCGGATGCTGTCTGACCTGCTGTGCTTTTCCAACTCCACATTTATTGACCCAAACTCCTTGAAGAGTTAATTTACAGGCTGTAGAGGAAATTTTCACATCTTAGAATGCGAGGAGATGTGGACCACATTTTGTGCACTTTAGTTGGGAGGACAATGGAATAGAACAGAGAAATTAGAAAAGTATAGCACAGGAACAGACCTTTTGGCCCACCATGTTTGTTTCAATCATGATGCTGTTCTAAATCAATCACATCTGACTGCACATGATCAATCTCCCTCCATTCCCTGCCTCCACATGTGTAAATATCTCTTAAACACTGCTATCATATCTTCTTCTACCACCTCCCTGACTGCACAGTCCAGGCACTTACCACCCTCTATGTAAAAAATTGCCTCAGGGATCTCCTTCAAAATTTCCCCCCCTGAGTTTAAACAAATGCCCCATAGTTTTTTGACATTTCAACCCTGGGAAAAAGATTTTGACTGTCCACCTTATCCATACTTCCCATAATTTTATAAACTTCTATCAGGTCACCCCTTAGCAACCAAAGTTCTAGCAAGAACAAACCAAGTTTGTCCAATATCTCCTTATAGCTAACAAACTCCAAGCCAGGCAACATCTTCCCAAACCTCATCTGCACCCTCTACAAAGCTTCCACATCCTTCCTATATTGTAGTGACCAGAACTGCATACAATACTCCAAATATGGCTTAATTGAAGTTTTATAAACATACAACATGACTTGCCAACTTCTATACTCAGTGCCCTGAACGATGAAGACAACCATCCCATTGGCCTTCTTTATCACCGATTGCGTTGCTACTTTCAGGGAGCTATGGACTTGCACCCCAAGATCTTTGTGTATATCAATGCTCGTAAAAATCCTGCCATTTACTGTAACTTTCTCCTTGCATTTGACCTCCCAAAATACATTATGTTATACTTGTCCAGATTAAACTCCATCTGTCATTGCTAAATTTCTAACTGATTGCTATCCTGCTGCATGTTTTGATAACGTCCCTCACTACCCACAACTCCCATTAATTTTCATGTTGTCTGCAAACTTACTAAGTAGGCCCCCTACATTTTCTTCCAAATCATTCATATATAATGCAAACAACAAACGTCCTAGTACTGATACTTGCAGAACACAGGTCACAGACCCTCTAGTCAGAAAAATACCTTTCCACAACTATCCTATATCTAAATGGCCAATCCAATTTTGTATCCAATTTATAAAGTCACCATGGATCCCATGTGACTTAATTTTCTGAACCACCCTATGATGAAGGACGTTGGTAAATCCTTTAGTAAAGTCCATGTAGACAATATCCACTGCCCTAACCTCATCAATCATCTTCATCATTTCCTCAAAAAAACTCAATCAAATTTATGATACAAAGCCTCCCCAGTACAGAGCCATGCTGACAATCTCTAATAAGTCTACTCCATTATAATTTTCCTATCACTCATGTAAGACTCACCATTTTAATGACCTTACCTCAACAACTTTCTGAGGTACAGAATTCTAAAGGTGCACAACCTCTAAAAGAAATTGAACGTCTGCCCTAAAAGGTGACTTCCAATTTTAAAACTCCCAAGTTCTAGACTGACTTGTAAGGGGAAATATCATTTCCACATCCAACTTATCAAGAACATTCAGGACCTTTATGTGCTTCAGTCAAGTAGCTCCTCACTCTTCAAAACTCTAACGGAAACAAAATCAACCTGTCCAACCTATCATCATAAAACAACCCACTCATTCCAGCTATTAAGCAAGGAAAGGCCCACCATTCTGCTTGGCAATACCAAGCCTAGACATGGCTGGTATTATCATTGAGATTCATCCTCCAGAGTCAGTATCAACCAGGCACCAAGGTCCACTTCAGCGCAATTAGGGTCACTGCAGAGATGCAGACGAGGTGCAGGTTTGGGACACAGAAGTGGTCCGGGACGTAACTGCAAATCCAGTCCCAGATTTCTGATTAGGATGACCATTCCTAATTCAGGAACAAAGTTTTCGTGAAAGCTTAGGAAAATTAGGCTAGAGATGGCTGTTAAGTTGTGCTTCATGGAGAAACTGTGACCTCAAAAAAACATCTGGGCGAATTTACTCCTGCTAATAAACACAAAATATTGCTGTTTTCAGTTTATGGGCAAAAACTGGTCATTTTCTAACTCATCAGTGGCTAAGCAATACAGATAAAACAAAACTAAAGCCACCGTGAACCGGAATGAACCACTAGACAATGTTATTGAACCTAAAATGAATGAAACAACAATACTTTGTAGCTTATTTCCAGTAGTCTACTCATCAGAATCTTTCCAAAATGTCAAAAACAATAAAAGGAAGGATATGCAAGCTAAAAACAAACTGGCCTAAAGCCAATTGAAAGAAACTCTAAGAATTTGCAATTAAGTTAAAAGTGTTTATGAATGCATGGATAAGGCCCTTGTGGCAGAGTGGTAGTGCCCTACCTCCAAACCAGGAGGTCTGAATTCAAGTCTCACTTGTTCTCAGATGTGTCATAACATCTCTGAACAGTTGTCTAGAAAATGCCTACAAATGCATGGATTCTTCAAGGCCAGTATATTGTTGTTAAAGGTAAATTGTATTCGAAAATATAATAATTTTGTTTAAGAACTGATCATTTAAATAGGCAAAAGGAAAATAATAGATGTTTATAGATTTTCAGAAGACATTTGACAAGATGCTTCACAAGACAGCATGCTATTAACCCTTCATGTCTAGATGATAGAATCCAATAAATAAACTACCATTGACAAAAATTCTATCAAAGCCTTGATATCTTTTTCACTAGCCTTATGCATTAAAATGCAAAGAATGAGTCACCCATTTCCAGCAATATGAATCAGAGCAATTGGCAGCCAGGAATGATAGCCTAGGCTGAGTTTTCTGACTTCTGAACACTATTGATAGTAACATGTAGACTATTACAGCTGTATTAAAGTGTTAGTAGTTAGCAGAGGAATGGACGCTGGGAGTCAGTTTCCATTGGCTAGAGACCTCGACCTAGTGGTTATAGTTGCAGGCAAAAAGTTGGCCATTTAGGATTGGGATGAAGGGATTTTAAATGTTTGGGATGATCTACCCCAGACAAGTATGGATGGGATGCTCAATCAGGGCAGATGTTTAAGTTAATTAATTGACAGATTTTGGGCATTGAGAGAGTGAGGATGGTGCATGGGGTAGGACAGGGCAGTAGAGTTGATATGAAAGTTTATCCATGACGTCACTGAGAGGTGGAGCAGGCTTTTGGAGTTGCATGTTTCACTCCTGCTCCTAGTTGCAATGTTCTATGTAACATTCTCCGTTATTTTAATTCACAGGCCATTATATCTGGGTAGAAGCCAACAACATCACATTCTCACAGACGGCTTTCTTTAATAGTTCTGTCTACTACAACTCAGGACACAACTGTCGTTTTGAATTCTTCTACCAAATCAATGGCAGGAATGTACTCACAGTGTTATTGCAAACCCAGGAGGTGAGTCAAAGCAATGGCTATTTCACTTTGTGAATAAAAATGAACCTAGTATTGAAATTTGAGTACAAAAAAAAGTCCAAACTATCACAATATCCCCTTATTCCATATATTTCCAGAAACACACTTTGTGCTACATTCACATTGTTTTTTTTTAAAACAACAAAAGGGTGTTAAGTAGCTCTCTTTCATACATTTTAAATACTCGCTATTAAAATGACAACGGGCATGATTGCACAATAGAAATTTCATGTAATTCCTTATTGATGGAACAGTGGTAGGAAACTCAATTATCATATATTTGATATAATGGTCTTTTAACACCTTTGAATAAAGATTTGAACCATTAAATCAGTAAAAGAAACAGGTCCTATAGTTATGTTAAATAGTACAAAAAGCAATTTATATAAAAGTATAATCCAGTGCATTGACTAATTCCAAGAAACATCTCCAATGTGACTATGTCAAATATTCTTTTTTCCACAACACTGTTAACTCTGGTGCCAACTTCTGAACATAGATATAAAAAATATTAACACTCATTAGCTACCACATCAAAGAAAGCATGATTAACATTGTGCTCAATAATATGCCACTACCTCAGTGCCATTTTCAAATATTTTCTTCTCGTACCCTCCAGGGAGAAATAATACTGTGGGAAGAACAGACACCAACTGAAAACCAATGGATCAGAGGGGAAGTGCAGTATCGTACTTGCCTAAGCCATTTTCAGGTATAGATTGTCTAACTTATTCACTAGAATGTTCACGTAGTGCTAAATTTTTGATGTTGCTGCTTGATAATATGCATTCTGCCATGCATTTCTGACAGAAATGTTCATCCATTTTCAATTGCAACTCACACCTGTTATGATTCGAGCATTGACATGAAACCTAAACTAATGAGAAACCCGATGTCTCAAGTGAAATGCAAAGCAATAGAAATTACATGACAGAAACAACCCAATTTATGCACATCCAGCTTACACATGCTCATGCTTATCAATATGATCCTCTATATCCCATATTAAATATATTTTATATGAATATTTCCCATACTTATGAACAGCTACATTGCATTGCCCTGCGTTGTGTTCCATCTTGCGTACAAATCAACTTGTGAACGGACTCAGGAATGGAAGGTGAATATATTAGCTGTCAGGAAACCAGCATGGATTAGTAATTAATGAAATGGCTTTATGTCACGAACTAGCTCAATCTGAGAGACAGGAGTCTCTTTCTGCTCAGCAAATTACCAATATGGCACTGTGGAGCACAAAGACACCGTTGGTGTAGTTTGAGATACCATGGATACTTCAAAAGCATGCATTATAGTCAAGCCCAGAGCTCTGATACCTTTACTATTGAAATTCCTTCCCAAAGATACCACGGATACGCTTGCACAATGTCACCTCCTACTATCTGGAAGAAACCTGTTGAGTAAAAATTAAGAGCAAAGATGAATTTAATAGTACACACTGTGCTGTATATATTTTAGATTCCAGTTGCAGTAGATGACAGCTCAGCAACAGTCTCCTTTATGAATCAATAATGCATCATGTATCGCTTCATAGTGAACTTATGGTACAAGCTGTGCTGTTTCAAGAGGTATCGTATGAATGGATTCCTGCACCATTACTTCCTACTCTAAATAATCCTGCACTTTCTCATCTATGTCACTGCTCCCAGTTGTTCTATACCCCAAAGATAGGCCAAACTACACATAAATGCAATGCCTCAGTTCTGACGACAAGCAGAAACAGTCCGATAACAGTGAACTCTTGCAGAAATTCTTTCAGTTAAATAGCCGAAATCGAACTTGTTTTCAGAAGGCAAAATTTAAAATCCAGAAATTAACCACCATTCTAAAGGGCCAAAACGGCATCAATCATAGATGGAGGCAATGAACCTTTTACAAGCAATGCTGCATTGTCTTTGCTCGCTGTTCTGCCTGCTGTTTGTAATATAGCAGATTTATCAAGTATAGTGGAATAATGTCCCAACAAACATTCCATACTGAGGAATGAGCATGGACTGTCAGAAATCTATAGATTTGAAAGCAGATGAATGTGCCTGTTATTTTAAAAAAACATTGGGAAAAGTTCTGTTGGAAGACATATTCAAGCATCTGTGTAATCTGGCATGTATCCAACTTGTTAATTATATGTGGAACAGCTATTGCAATATTAATCAAAACAATTACAATAACGTGATTCAACAGTTTTAACTCTTAATGGAGTTGTTTAAATCTGTACCAGAGGGAACCCCTCTGCAAAATAATTACAGGGGCACTGAAATTGGGCAAGATGCTGTGGTCTGTGGCAAAGCAACAGCAAAAACCACTGAGCTAGCAGGAAACTGCTCATAAAGCCTTAGGGATCTTTGTAGTTCCCTTTCCTGAGACCAGGTTGTTTCTGGCATCAAGTCAAAGCACTCAGCAGCTAACAGCAAGCAGAGAAAACAGCAAATGACATTGACCTATTCTGACCCTCAATAAATAAAAAACACTGAATCCTGTCATGTTTAGTTTTCATTTCTTAGAGATACTGCAATAAATGAGCGGGAAATACACATTGGATTAAATTAGAAGTTAAACCATTATAAACTTTAAAATGATTCTTTAAAAATATGGACAATTTATTATAATGGAGACAATTGACATTCAGCAAATATAAACTTAATCTTCTAGAATCAATGAGGATCAATAAGTTTGTGTGCTTTTAAAACTACAGTCCCATCTCATTCAACATTGTAGAGCTGTTTCTAGGCTTTTTACAGTGAGAGTGGGAAGTGTAGTTATGCTTCAGTATAAAGCAATTGCAGTGTTTTACTGAGTTTTTTGTTATTATTTCTGCAGATTATACTTGTAGGCTTTGTTCAAAGCAGAGCAGGATTCTTGGCCCTGGATAGTCTACAATTCCATGACTGTGAAGAGACAATTTTATCAGGATCCTGCCCACCTTCAACATTTACTTGTGGAACTGGTCACTGCACTCCTATGAATTCAGTTTGCAACTTCCAGGCTGACTGTTGTGATGGTGCTGATGAAGACAAAATAATCTGCTGTAAGTGCCTCACATTTCTGGGTCAGCAAATAAATGTTCGCTTTTCATTGGTTTCAACATTTCAATCTATGAAAATACGCTTGAATGTTTTATCAGGACTGTTAGACTTGATATGAAAATGTATGGAAATGTGCTGATTGCATGTTCAGCACTGAATTATGCAAATTTCTCTTCATGGAAGCACTTAGAGACAATATTTTCCACAAGTGCATAAATAGTGAATATTAAATATAGCACCATTTCCTGATTTTTCTCCATATTCACCCATCCATAAGTCTGCTGCTCATATATAGTTTTATGAACTTGTTTTGAGTAATGTACAGAGCAAAGTATAGGGAAATAAATTAATTATTGAAAATGCATTGCCATTATAATAACATTAGAATTATAGAATTCCCACAGTGTGGAAACAGGCTCTTTGGCCCAACACATCCACACTGACCCTCAGAGCATCCCACCAAGACCCATCCCTCTAATCTCAGTATCCCTGAACGCTACAGGCAATTTAGCATGGCCAATTCACCTAGCCTTCACATCTTTGGACTGTGGGAGGAAACCGGGCACCTGGAGGAAACCCACGCAGACACAGGGAAGAACGTGCAAACTCCACACAGACAGTTGTCCGAGGGTGATAACTGAACCCGGGTGCCTGGAACTGTGAGGCAACAGTGCTGACCACTGAGACACTGTGCCGCCTGGATAGGGCTGATGCAATGGTCATATTTGAATTCAGTTTGGATTGTTGGCAGATGCACTCGTCTGATAGCTACAGGGTCTGAGGTAGACATGTCTGATCACTGAGCTTCATTATGCCTTCAATATGGAGTTAGGCCACACATCTGCCATAATCTCATTGAATGGTGGAACAGGTTTTAGGGGCTGAATGGTCTAAACTTGTCTTTTCCTGTTCCTATGATCTCTCTGGTTGTAAATGCACAAAAACAGCTGATCTACAGATCAAGTCATTTGCTTCATCCAGCTGGTTTTATGAAACTGGACTGACATTCCTCAGTGTAACAAGTAAAGGCAAAATTGTATCTCAATGTTATTTATTGCATTGAAGGTGAACATTTGTAAATAGATATGCATTAATATATGCCTACGGATGTACAGAAATGAGTATAGAAAAATAAATCTTAGTAGAATGGAAAAGATTACACAGTTCATCTGATGAATGCTAAAATTATTACTCATCCTACCTCCCTGGCATTTCCATGCCTGCCTCCCTAAGCATTTTATTTCAGTGTATTCAATACACTAAATTCTTGCGCACTATCCTTCTTCTAATTTTGAGCTTGTGTAACCTGCTTCAGAATATGTGATGATCCAGAATATTTCTCCTGAGTATTCTTTCCTGAGTTTCAGCATAGTACTAGTTGGTTGCTTCAGTCTACACTTCCTCCAAATCTAGATATCCTTCCTGTACTTCAGTGAGTGCATCAGCCTTGGTTCTACCACTGACTTTTATAAATTCATTAGGTACATCTTTAACTCAGGATGGAATTTGGTTGAGTGGTGGCCAAGGCATTATGTGGCCTGAGGAATTTTTACTCCTGTGCCATTTTTGTAAAATATATTCATGAGAAGTGGACTTATCTCACTAGGACAGCACTTATTACCCAGCCCAATTTGCCATTGAAGTTAGGGATGAGTTGCCATCTTGAATCACTACGACAATACACCTGTACACAGGTACTGTGTTGTGATGAAATGAGGACCAGTGTTTTGACCTAGTGTCACTTAAGAAACAGTGACATAGTTTCAATTTGGGGTGATGTATGTCTTGGGGACAATTTTGCAGGTGATGGCACTCATTCTCATCTGCTTCCCTTGTTCTTCTGAGTGGTAGAAAAAATGAATGCTTAAGCTGGTGGATGGGGTGTCAATCAAGAGGTTGTTTTGTTCTGGACATGTTTTGAGGAGCTAGGACTTAAGTCACTCACCCCAAATTCCTAGCTTCTGACCTGCTGTTGTTGCCCCAGTATTTATTTTGCTTTCATTCTTTCAAGAATGTCAGTACCACTAGCAAGGACAGAATTTATTGTCTATCCCTAATTGCCCTTGAACTGATTGCTTGAGTCAGTGGACATTAAATTGAGGCCATGATGAAAAGAAAGGAAGATGTTGAAATCATTAGATTCTATCTATTTTCTTTATTCTTTCATGGGAAGCAGGCATCATTGCTAAAGTCAACATTTTTTACCTATCCCAATTGCCCTTGAACTGAGTTGGGTCAGTTCAGGGGGCTGGTAAGAGTTAATCATGGTTACTCTGGGTCTGCAGTCACATGTAGGCCAGAAAATTTCATTCCCTAAGGGATATGGTGGCCTGGTGGCTCAGTGGTTAGCACTGCTGCTTCACAGCACCAAGGACCTAGGTTCACTTCCAATGTTGGATGATCGTCTGTGTGGAGTTTGTAATTGTTGAGTGTAGGATGCAAGCCTGGAACAGGGATTGCCTACATTTTTCTAGTGAAGCTCACAGGCTTCTTCTGTCTACACTTGGAAAGTTAACAAAAGTAGGAAAGTCTACCTTTTCTGGATCTCTTCTAAGCTTAACTCCTCTTCCACTGTCATTGTAAACCTGTTCAAGACTAGCAGTTAGGTCTGACGAGTTAGTCTGAATTTACCTACTTAAAGAAGAACTTTATCAATTTCTGGTTGGAGACTCAACTGCTGAGAAAATAAATTTAAATTCTAGCCTTTTGGAATTGGTGTGGTTCCTGTACATGATATTAACATTGCTAATAGGTGGTTTTTATTTGTGGGCATGTTTTAAATCACCCATTTATTTGCTTTCAAAAGCAGACCATTTCACCTGCAAACTTTGTCTCCTTAAATGACAATTCTAGTCTGACTTCATATCTCGTTTTTCACCATTATTCCATCTTAAATTCCAAATGTCCATTTTACTTTCCTTATCTATGCTGAGTTTGACACCAAACACAATTATTGTTTCCATGTCTCTTTCCGAGTTGTTCCCTAACCTTGTTCAAACATTGGATTTTATGGAACATAAAAGAAATGTCAAATTGCTTGCCCTCCTCATGAGCTCTTCAACCATTTGGAAAAAGCAGTCTGCAGCCAGAAGGTGAATCAATGCTTCAGCTGCGACTCTAAATGGGAGAAGTGACAAGCACACAGATATCTAAAAATTGTCAAGGATTACTAATGTGCTCATCTTTAAAAAGATGCATGCACAGCTAGATTTACTGACAGTGATACACTTCATTAATTCCAGTGTTCAGCAAGTGTACCCGTCATCAATATAAGTCCATATTCCAGTTGATGTGACAGAAATAATTAACTATATTGCTGCCACATTTAATTATTTCTATGTTATATTTGTTTCTAGCCTTTTGTTTGCTCATATATTGTTCTCATTTTTCCATTGATCATTTTTAAAGTTAATTATGTAAAATTATTTGTTGTGTCTCTAAAAGTCAAATTTAATTTTTGACTTATATAACTCAGCCTCTTGTTAAAGCCTTTGATATGTTTTCACCTAACAGGTGTAGTATACAGAATTTCCCAGAATATATCAATAGCATTTAAGCAAGTCAAATGATAGAATGCTTGACTCTGAGCAAAAAAAATCTTGAGTGGCTTTTCAAAATTATTTGAAGAAAAGCTTGAGCAGGTATTTCAAGAGCTTCTTTCAAGTGAAATTTTATTGTTTTTTTTTAAAACGGAGAAGCATGCTGTGTGCCTAAGTGGAAAAAAAATGCAACAAACTGTTCTGATTACTTGTACCAGAGATAGTAGGAACTGCAGATGCTGGAAAATCTGAGACAACAAGGTGTAGAGCTGGATGAACACAGCAGGCCAAGCAGCATCATAGGAGCAGGAAGGCTGGCGTTTCAGGCCTAGATCCTTCATCTCATGAATGGCCCAAAATGTCAACCTTCCTGCTCCTATGATGCTGCTTGGCCTGCTGTGTTCATCCAGCTCTACACCTTGTTGTTCTGATTACTTTCCTGTTTTTCCCTTTGTTGATGTTTAGGGAATCTACATTTTTATGTAAACATGAAGCCCTAAATTTGAGAACATTCCCATATTTTTCTAATATACTCTGAAAGATATAATGAAAGATACTTATTCAAAATTATATCACCCCAAATTTTTAAGATATTAAGACACTTGTTACAGCAACAAAACTGGAGTAGCATCAAGACCATGCAAAATCTCTGATGTGGCTAACTCCATGATAATTGCCTGGAGAGTTGAAACTTCTGATGGCTAACTGCCTGAAGTTTCACACCCTCTTATAAAGTTCCATCTCTGAGTCAGAATCAAAGACTTCAGATGGTTCTGACTGACTCAAACCTTTCAGTTATTCAGAAACAATTAAAATATTAAAACCAATCTAATTCCTAGATAACTGTCAAACTGAACCCCTGACTCAATGAACCACTAACTACTTACCCACCGATATCCAAGGACCTGAACACCTCCATATCCCCGTCCCAACAAACCCCCTCCTCAACTCCCATTTCTGACTCAACTCTACCTCTGATCCAACACCACATACCAACCTGGACCCAACAGCCTCTCTTATAGACTTCACCTATCTGACCATTGCCCAGTGACTCACCCGTACATGATAATTCCTTACAATCTGACACTATCCCACTGATCTGCTAACCTCTCCACTGCCCACCCCTTTTGGACCTGACACTACCCCAACACAACTCCTCTGAACCGAACAAATCCATTTCCCCTCACCTATCTGCCCCCAACCCCTTTAAAAGTCTGCCACAAGAATCACCTATCCCCTCACCAAACCATCATGCTATTCTCCAATATTCATCTGCCACCCTACATTGCCAATCCCCTATTCTCCTCTCCCACCTGACACTCTGATCCCTCACCCATCTGGCACTCTGATCCCTCACCTACCTGGCATATAGAAACTTACATACGAGCATATAAATTAGAAGCAGGTGCAGGCCACTCAGCCTTTCAAAGCTACTTTGATAATCAATAAGGTCATGGCTAAATTGATTACTCCATTTTCCTGCCTACCTGCACTAATCTTTTATCCCCTTGCTTTACAAGAAACTATTTTGCCTTAAAAATATTCAAAGACTCTGTTTCCACTGCCTTTTGAGGAAGAAAATTCCAAAAAGACTCGCAACCCTGTGTGAAGATAAAAGTCTCCTCATTTCTGTCTTAAATGGGTAACTGTTTATTTATCCTATTCATAACTGGAGACCACAGGATATACTGTCCTCTACTATAACTACATTCTTCTGGCAGTTAATTTAAGGGAAATATATTCTTGGTTTCTCATGACTTGTTGGATACACTTGAAGTCATTTAGCAATGTCCCAGAGATAGTAGGAACTGCAGATGCTGGAGAATCTGAGATAACAAGATGTAGAGCTGGATGAACACAGCAGGCC